AATTATATATATATATATATATATATATATATCATTTTTCAATTAAGATGTTAGTAGTTACTATGTAGTCAGTTTATTAAGACAATCAGCTGCAGTTTTATCTTTCGGCTTTCTATGGCAATTCCCATAGCTGTTGTTGTAGGCATTTTTCAGAACCTTATAATCAAATTTATCCATCAACAGCTCAAACTTACATTTGTCCGTCCATAGTAATGCTCTGCCATTGAATCTGTATGTTTTTTTGCCCAATTGAACCGTTTTCTTCTTGGCCAGAGTCAGATTTGGTTTCTCTTTGAAACTCTGTCTAAAGACCAGTGGCATCTTAGAGTCTTTTCTGTTTCAGATGAAGAACACACACACACATCCATTTAAACAGGGCCTGATGATAACGGCGGTTCATTCATCGGGAGTTCTTTATGTTGCAGGTAATGAAAATGACAAACACTGGCAAACTCGACATCATTGAATCAAAGAGTATGTAAATGAACAGTTCTGAGGATACAGACGAGCCACTGGCTTTTGTGTTGCACGTTCCACTTCCTCTTTCATCCAACCATGAACAGCGATCTCACAAACACTCCCCACACACACAAAAAAAAAAAGACAAAAAACAGTCTGGTCCTCCGCCTCCCCCTGCTGAATTCTTAATAATGGTGTACATATTGCTGAAATTGCACCGTGCGCTTGTATATAAAACGTCTCCATAAAATTAATTTAGCAAAGACGACGCAGCCATCAAAGAAACGTCCGGCTTATTCATCGAGGGACAATGTGGAAACTAATTTCCCCGAGGTTGCCACACCGGCTGTCTTTATGTCAGTTCTTCCGATATGCTCTTGTCATCACGCCGCGGCGAAAATTAAACCGGTGACTGGCAGTTTTGACGGCTTTCATTGAGCCCACCTCATGCACTTTGCCTTTTCGTGTGTTTCGAGCATATGAATTGAAGGCGCTTATTATATTTGTGAATAGTCCATTATGTCCAGGCGAGCATTCGGGGCCGTGCTCAGGGGCCCGTTCTGTTTGTCACACAGGGCCTGTTTTGATCGATGTGGCCGTGGTTTGTCACAGCTGGAAGGGAGGTGGTAGACTTGGGTTGTATAGAGAAAGCGATGCACCACACAGAGCTCTGCAATTAAGCTGTTTTCTTTCTGTTAATTAAAAGCAAATTAGTCACTGCAACAAGAGGAGCTGTCTTCTCCTAATTGCCACCCAGCATTGCCAAACATGAACCTGTTGTTGAAATGTTCTGTCTTTTCTTACACTTTCATTTTCTGTCTTGCAGGGTCGACGGGGGAAAACAGGAGAACCAGGGACTCCAGGACAACCGGTAAGAATTACAGTTTATAGTATGTGTAACATTGACAAGAAAATGACCAAATATTCAGTATTGAGGGGAGGCCAAAAGTGAAAGTTGGTCACTTTGAAAAGCTGAATGGCCTTTCCCAACCAATCATGATCTTGGCAGTGCAACAGGAGAAGAAAATTAAACTTGATTCAAAATATATTCTCTGTAATCCAACATTATTATTATTATTATTCTAACAGTTTTTCTTAAGTGAATTTGCAAAGACCCCACAAAGTATATCTATATAATTCTATTTCTGTTCTAAAAGTGTGCATTTGCTTTATTCCTGCCTGCCTGATTTGATATTTTATTATATAATACAATGAAGTTCATAAATTGTGTCAAGTGTCCAATTAATCTTTAGAGGCTCTGCATCTTGCTTTAGACATATTTAGATATTTTTACAGTTCAGGAATTGATTTGATCAGTAGAAGCAAATAATAAACAGAGTGGATTGGTTCAGAGGATTTAGCTGTATTAAATTAGTGCAGAAAATCACCATTAATAAATAAATAAACAAATAAATTGAGTTTGATACCTGCTATTTTATATATATATGAGCATTAATATCGAGCCCACACAGAATCTGTGCCCGCAAAGCTCTGCAGAAATCTCCACATATTTCTATGCCTGTCATTCAAAAAGTTTTAAACCCTGAGTGTTTTCTCTTATATGTTTATTTTAGTGAGATATTTCAGCTACTAACAAGTGTACTAGCTCCATTTTACCATATTTAAATCCATGCTCCAGCGTTCTGCAAAATGTCTCCTAGAACTTGAAATGTAAAGTCTAGATGGCCAAAAGTATTTCAAGTTTAGAAAAGTTTTTGTTCCCAAATACTGTTCAAAACAGTTCATTTTAATTCAATGGAATTAGAAAATAAATAAATATTAAATTGATATAAAATACATGTATATAATTGAATATAGGTTTTGAAATGCAGCTCATTTGTACCATTTCATTTATATCACTTCTCTGCCTAATTTCCTTCCCCTGCTATTCGTTTCAGATTCAGAAAGCGTAATTGTTGTCATAAATCTGCGTCAAAAGCAAACAAAATTTGTCATTGTACATAATGGACAGATACCTGCTGATATATGCATCCCACTCCAGATGAGTTTTCTTGGTTTATGCATTGGTTCAAGTGAAATCTCCATCACATGCGCTGTTTGGCTCAACGTTTCAAATTAGGATTTCAAGCAGCCCAGAGGGCCATATTAAGAGCAGTCCCATGCATAAGTGTTATTGAAGATCCTGATGAGACTCCCAAAGGGGCCCTAGTTTACTGCTTGATAAATAGTCATCTCATCAAAGCTGTGGCATCAGTATGGAAATGTGTGTGACATAAAAATCACACACACGCACAACACTTCAGGCTTTGAAACGTATGTTGCATCATAAATTTTTGGCATTTTTACATTGCCTTTGGCTTTGTGGTTGTACCCACATATGTAGAACTGGATAAACATTGCCAGCTTTACTGATTCTATTTTAAGTGGGAAATGAGTGATTAATACATTGCTATATTGAATGAAAACGTAAAGGAATACTTCACCTGAAAATGGAAATTCTGTCATTATTTGCTCTCTCTTGTGTTCTAAAACCATTTGACATTTTTTGTTCAGACTGTGCTGGTTGCTCTTTTCCATGCAGGTAATATAAATAGGAACTATTTAAGCAAAAGCAACAAAAAGTGGTTCATTTGACATGTGAACTACAGTAAGTCTTCTGAAGTCATGCGATAGCTTTGTGTAAGGAACAGACTGACTTTGAAGTAGTTATTCGCCGATAAATTTCACGAGTGATTGTTCACTACTGTAATGAGTCTGACTTGTGAACGAATCATTTAGACTGGTTTTGTGAATCAAATCAGCGGGTTCACTGAAAATATTCAAGTAAAGTCACTTTTATTTATGAAATGCTTTATACAATACAAATTGTTTCAAAGACGATTTACAGTAATAAACAGTAAAGCAACATAATCAACTTCAAATATGAAATGAATTAAAATTCTGCTCTAAAGCAGCTCAAAAAAGACAATAGTGTCATTATTCATCTCAAGCCAGTTCAGTGTTTGTTCAGATTCAGTTCAATAACTTTGTAACACTCATCAATTATGAAAACTTTAAAACATATCTACAGATGACGATACTGTCATCATTCAGTGCCAGATGTTGAGACTTTTGGTGAATAAGGGTCTGTTTTTCACACAAAGCTATCATATTGCTTCAGAAGACTTGAAGTATGGATCATATGGAACACATTTATATATAATTTATATGATATTTATGGGACCTTTTCAACACCCAATTCATTGTAATTGCATTTTCTAGAAAGTAAATATGGCTGAGTTTTCATTTTTGGTTCAGCTGTTTCTTTAAAGATTCGCTAAGCTGCAAAACGAATCGCAAATGCTGCCTGATCTGCTCCGCATACTAATAGTGACTGACCGTTTAGATTCACACATGCTACTGTAAATCCCTATCACTTTCCATTACAGGAAAGTTATAAAGTGGTGGACACAAAGTCATAAGTCAGGAGGGAAGTGGTTGTGACATTTTTAAATGGCAGTGTCTCGATAATTTCCATGGCATGTGCCAACCTTGCTTCTGTCCTCGGGAGCTGGCACTTATGAGTGGCCTGTCGTCAGTGGTGATGGTAGGGAGGAGGAGGGCCTCGGGCGGCACAGACATCCTCCCCCAGCCTCGAGGTGTCGAGGAACGCCATGTGCGGTCCAGGAGGCCCTTATCTATCTGGATGTTTAGTTGAGCTGATGTGTCTAGTGACCTTTGTCAAGGACATTCACAGGTGTTGTTGCTCCAGTCGTGGGAGACAGAGGCTAATACGCAGCGAATGCTGTCCTGGTTGCAGGGTCAAGCAGTTAAAGCTGAATTTACATTTTGTTTTGCATTTTACAATATTGGGTTTTGAGCAAATAAGCTTCCTTGCCCAAGACATTTTGAAATGAGCTTCCAAATGTAAGTGCAAGTGATTTGATTTACTCATACTGAGATTTATTTCTTCAACACAGGGTCCACCTGGAACATGCGATGCTGAAGCTGTTAAGGTAAGAAATAAAAGCATTTTTTAAAAGCAAAAACACTAAGTAAGCCATTCGTAGGTTGGAAAGTTTAAACACTCTGGCACTTTCAAAACATACTGTACAAGCAGCCTGACCAACCTGGCATAGCAACATTGGCTCAATCAATGGCATTGTAAGCAGCCTGACCAGCCTGGCATAGCAACATTGGCTCAATCAATGGCATTGGGGGCGGCCCTTTTTTTTTTTTTTTATGATCAATAGTAGACAAGAAAGTGTTCAGGACTGACTGAAAACTTGTCATTGTTTTTGTGGTTCTGTTTGGTGACTCCAATGGTTTTAAGACAACTAGATATATAGAAAACATTTACTTCCGCGCTTTTACTTTTAAAGGGGTCATATGATGTTGCTAAAAAGAACATTATTTTGTCGTTCCTCTTCGGAACACAAATTAAGATATTTTTGATGCATCCCGTGAGCTCTCTGACCCTCCCATAGACAGCAAGTGTCCTTATACTATCAAGGTCCAGAAACGTAGCAAGGACATTGGTAAAATAATCCATGTGACATCAGGGGTTCAACCGTAATTTTACGAAGCTACGAGAATACTTTTTGTGCGCAAAAACAAAACAAAGCCGACGTTATTCATCAGTTCGTCTCCTCCACGTCACCCTAGCGCCATTTTGGAGAGTATCCACTTTTTTTTAATACTTTTTTAGATTTTCTAGACTTTTGGGAGTCTGGTCATGTTAAAAATCAAAACCAGCATTACTTTCATTCCTTACAAAAAAGGTACAAAACTGTCACTGAGGCGGTACCAAAAGATCCTAATATGCATTTTTTTAGTACTAATACAGTATGTACATTTAAGGTACTATTGTACCATTTATCAGTAAATAAGATACAAAGAAATGCAATTTAGCATTTTGTACCTTAGTGTACTGCCATAGTGACAGACAGCTTTGTCTACCTTTGTAAACGTAAGTTTAACACATTACATTGTGACATATTAAGTGCATTAGGATCAGTGCACTCTGTATGCATACTACATACTGATTGATGCACGAGTAAAAGTAGCATGTTGGTAAACTAATTGGAACATTCCAAAATCTAGTCTAGAATTGTAATTAATTTAATTAATTTAGCGTAAAAAATTAAAAAATATCTAAGTATTTTCAAAATGATTGAAAATTGATCAGGTCATATGGCAACAATGTAGCATTCTATATTAATCATGGAATAATGTAATTGCTTCATTTACTATTTTTAAAGAATAGTACAATAGGAAACAGTGTATTCTGCACAGTATTTAGTGAGTAGTAAGCTAGTATCCCATTCTGAACATAGACTTCAATAGATATCTGAGTTGTTGTGAGGTCAGTGCAAACACATGCACCACTGTCAGTGACCTAGAAGACTGTTTAGACACATTGTGCTGTCTGTGTGTTGGTAAGGTGAGATGAAGCATTTATTCAGTGCTGTCCTCCTGAGAACAGAGAGGGAAGGACACGCTCGCATCCTTATGATTGACTTCCCTCAGTCAAACGCTGGCTGTCTGCTCCGCATGTTAAACACACACACACACACACACATCCTGCATCACTCCTCAGTCTCAAGCCTGACAGATGGTAATTATGAACAGTGCTTTTGCAAAAGGTCTGCAATAATTTTCATGAAGACCAGGGGTGTCATATCTCACCAGGGGCAATGGCAGTGTATGAATATAAATATACAGTATATAATATATATCTATATTAAACAGAGCAAGAGTGAGTGTTTACATGCAGCTCCTTAACTTGTCAGTTCACACTCACAGCTGACACGCACAGTCAGGTCTCAGGGCAGAAAGTGTCTGTCTGACCTTTAACCTTCTTCTCATAAAGTAACCATATAAGTTACACTGTTTGCTTGCAATTTGATTTCTGTTCACCTGTCTTTTTTGGTCAGTTAATGCCAAAGCACTGACATGCTGCAAAAAAAAAATTTTTTATTAAGTTTATTTTTTAACCCTTTGTCAATTTCTTTCTTTATCATCATTATTATTATTTTTTTAAATAATAAACCTTACATTTATTTTTTGATTTATGCATGAATAAAATACATTTATTTGGTAGTGGGGTAAGAAAAAATTATTAAAGTCTTTTCAAGTAAATTGATCTTGTTTTGTAGATATTTAGTTTAATGAATTATTTTGTTTTATTTTTTACTATGCAACTACTGATTTAGCAAATGATATTTTGCTATGCTGTTCCTTACCCAGTGTTATGGATCTCTTTTTTCTCATGCTCATAAGTTTATATCACACCAGAATTGTGCCTGGATACCTTCATTAATTAAAAGATGTTTTATAACCTACATTTTTCTTTTCCAGTCAATTTGATACAACCTGTTTCAAGTCCCTCAGTTTGACAAGTACAGTAATTAAAGCGAGTTAATTTTATCTTTCAGATGGTGGGATGTCTAAACACTAGATTATTTTTGAGTTGTTCTGCTGTTAGCGGACATTTTAAATCAAAATAATCTTTCTTAATTTCCTCTAAGTGACAGTAATTACTGTTTCAGTGTAGTCAAATGGACAGTGTAACCAGGAGCATTGTTTACCTGATCCCAGACGAACCCACCTGACATCTAACTCAGGGCAAATGATTCAGGCTTGGGTGTAATTAAATGAACATTCTGGGTTAAAAGCAGGTTAAGGACTGTCAACAGCATTTGTGACATACTGTTGATTTCCACAAAAACGAATTTCATCTCGTCCCCTAGTTTTGTAAAAACATCACTTTTACAGCCATACAGTTACAATGGTAGTCTATGGGGCGAGTCATTTCGGAGAGTTTAAAAGCAGAAATAAAAAAAGGAAGTTTATTCCTCTATTTAAAAAAAATAAAAATGGGTAAAAAATAATAATATAAGTGCATTAACTAAAATATAAGCAGCCAATTTCTGCTTTTAATTCCCCAATAGTCTTCCAAGGTAACTGGAAACTGACTGAAGTCTATTTTCTTGTTTTAAACCTGGAGCATTAAAAATGGAAGACCCTAATAGTTTATCAAGAAATGTGTGCTTTAATTTTAGAAGGCCTTGAAGCTATGTATGTGTTCAAGCACCGGACATGCCATGATTCAACCGCGCTAAGGCCCGGAGGGATAAAAGGACAAGGACAAACAATATAGGCTGATTTATTGTTGATAAATATAGAATTTTGAGAATTTTTCTGTTTATGATGTCAAATGAGTCACTGTTGTATTAACTATTTTTGTACATTGTTCAGTTGAAGAGTAGTGTCTTAGCAACAAATGACAGTCAGGATGCCTGCATGCATTAGCCAATTAGAAAACTATGACGTGTGTCTTTAGCTGTCAATCATTTTGGATGGTTGGGTGGGCGGGGTTTTGTAGAGGTGCGTAGTCAATACAGTAATGTTTCTATGCAGTAAGGCATGCTATGATTCTGAGACGCTCAATTAAATTGAGTTTGCTGTAGGGAAGATGCGCACACACCAAACCATTATGTGGAGAAAAGTTTATTTTAACCATGAGCTGAATTCAGAGATGAAAGTTTCCTCGTCATCTGAGTGGGGCTTCAGACCCTTTGGCTTTGCATTTAAAGTCAGTCTGTATCATAGAGTATCAGGGCTGTCTGTCAATGTTTGACCTTCTAGTGGTCCTTTCATAGAACAAACTGCCTCTAGGTCTTTGGTATTTTTGCGCTGCCCATTAGGAATACAAACATGTGAGGAGAGCCAATCAGCTCACTTGTTTTCAAAACTACTGCTGAAACACTTGTTCATTGGTTAAATTCTTTGCTCGCCCCAGAGACCTTTGTTCACTCTAAGCTTTAAGCATTTGAAATATGCATTAAAACTAGGGCTGTCAATCGATTAAAAATTTTAATCTGATTAATCCTTTCCCGGAGTTTAGCGGCTTAAAATGATCTAATCGCAAGCAGAGAAGCAAAATTGGGTTAAAGGGTTAGAATAGAAATTGTGCTTCAGTAATTTTGCGTTAATTGCGTTAAATTATTTTAACGCGTTAAGGATTGTAAAATTAATTGCATGCGTTAACGATGACAGCCCTAATTAAAACTAACATTATTTGTAAATGTTTTTACTTTTTTTTTTTTTTTATCCTCAAAAATTTTTTCTTAATTTATTTCTTTTTCTTTTATAAAGAATGCTTTCATTGTTTAGTTTTGATTTTATAGATTCTTTTTTTATTTTACTCATGTTGCAGAACCACTTTCAATCTAACAAAATTTTAATTATAAAAATTTTAAAACCATTTTAAACTTTGAAACTTTAAATTTAGTGAAATCAGTTTTACACAAATTCAAATGATAACTGTATAAACTTTGATATTAATTTATAAATTATAAAATATTTATAAATTGTAACTGTCAGTTGTGGCATCATTTCCACCATGGAAAAATGGTTAAGTGTTTAAAGACGAGCTTAAAAATTGATTTCCACCATGTGGTCATGTTTGTCAAACAAAAGTTGTGATAGAAATAATATTTGTTGGATTAAAGAAAATAGTTCTGAAAAAAATTACAAAAAACATAATTCTTCTGTCACACATGTAGACTGTTGGACAATGTTGAAAAAGTTTAAAAATGTGTTTTAAGATAATTTATCTTTGTGTTTTTGTTTAGTTTTGTTTTAGAGAAGTTTAGAAGTCAATAGTGCCAAAGGTTCCCACAGTTGAAAAGTGCATGTGTTTATGTGAGCATGAATGGAAATATTAATGGCCCTGCTGGAAAAAAAATGCCCAAACAAGGGGATTTGGGCACTCATCGGCTGGTTTTAGAGTGGTCAGGCTTCAAGACCACTAAACCATCTAAAATAGCTGTTTTGACAGACTGCAAGTCCAACAAACCTCCTTAGGCTGGTTCAAGTTGCTTTTCTCAGCAGGAGAGGCCAAAGTAAGAAGAGCAATTGTGCGGTCGAGCTCTTAGTAGAGCTATTCAGACTCCGTCCATTCTGTGTGGCTTTTATTACTGATCACGAGTGACCACCTATCATCAGCTGGCCGTAAAAGACACTCTCTTCCCTCAGCGAGAACATTTCCTATAAATCTTCACGCAGGGATTCAGGATTACACAGGGGTTTGGCGAGGGAGTTGATGCTTGACAAAGAGGACCAGAGGGAGAGGCTTTTTGCTTCACTGCACCTTTGAGCTCAGACAGAAGGAGAGTGTGTATGCAGTGCTCCAATTTGCTCTTGTGAGAGCTCTGTGTGTGTGTGTCATCTCCACCAGTTCACACAAGCATTGGACTGTGACTGGACTCTGAGAACAGTGAGAGGGCTGTGTAGCATCTGCATACGTTTGTCCTGACAGTGCAAAGCGGAGTAAATTGCTGCTCTTTGTTATAGAATTGTTCATGGTCAATACACATGGTGTGGTTAACATACTTTTGACCTTAGCGTCCTACTGCGGGTAACAAGTCAGAAAGCAGGGTTATCTACATCATAACCACTTACTTGTATAATAGGTCACTTGTTTGGCTGAGGACACGTATTTAAGTGTGTTGCCCCAAATGACATTAAAAAACATAAAAAATAAGACTGCAATTATTTCTAAAGTATATAACAAGAAATACACAGAGATAATAAGATAGTAACAAAGAAAGAAGCCTGGGAAGTACAGGGCAAATGGTCCTGTGGAGTGGCAAATTAATACATTTTTTAAAGTACAAATGTTTAATAAAGTATTAATATTAGGTTATGAAAATTGCACGTGCAATAATTATAATAGCATTTGAAAAGTGCTGTTTTGAATTCATGTCACCACAGGACCATTAAAATTAGTGTTTGTAGCAAACAATTAGCATTGTTTCCTTCACATTTATTCATTTCTTTATTTATTTTGAATTTTATTTAAATACATTTGAAATACTTTTTTTCCCAAGTATTTATTTTAAAATTATTTATTAAAAAAAAAAAAGTATCCTAAACGTTAGTTAGTTAGTTACTTAGTTAGTTAAAATTGTTCTGGATGTCGGAAATCCCAGGTCAAATTAGCTGTGCCAGAAAAAAAATCATTAAAATATTCAAAAAAATAATAATCTCAGGTATTGTGAATAATTTTCTATTTTTTTCTGTGAATCATATTTAAGACAATACAATCCAAAGATATAACACTTTTTTATTATTTATTTGAATTTAACAACAAAATTATTATTTAAATGATGTTCTTATGTGTTATTCAATATAATATATAATATAACTTATATATAATATAATAAATATAATAAAAGATTATAATATAATCTTGTGTTATTCAATTTCAATATTTCTCTCAAAATTGCATCATGAAATTAAAAAATATTCAGAAAGATTTAAAAAAAACTCACATTATTGTTTATGAAATACCAAAATATTTTTTGTCTTTTTCATGAAGCACTGTGAAAACATGTCAACTTCTGAAATATAACTTGAACCTTTTGATGTTTTTTTTTTTTTTTGACTGTTTGGATTGCTATAGTGCAGAGTCTCCAAGATGCAATCAAAACAGATAGCAATCTGATCACTCAGGAGGTGGCAATTACAGAGGAACAGAGACTGTGAGCTTTGGCATTACACCAAACACACTGCTATCTTTTGTGTGCACTCTGTTGTGCTTGTAAGCAATATTATGAAAAAGAAAAAAAAACTGTACAACTTGGGGGAATTGCCTTTTCCAGGTTGAGTAGACAAATTGTATTACCTCTCCACAGAGTTCCCCTCAGGAATTTTAATGTACATACAGCGTTCAGTCAAGTCTGACACCACTAAAATCACCACAGGGATGTTTTGTGACGGTCCCTTCTCTCCTCAACACTTCCTCTCAATGATGTTTGTTTTGAAAGAAAACACAACATTCAATTCTAAATCCTTCATATCTTTACACCATTTAGCTATGAATCCATGTGTATTGGAGTATCTGAAAGCACAAATGGATTCCAGACTCAATATATAGACACTAAATGCTCAGCCTCTCGCCTGCCAGTATAAAAGATGCTCAGTTTGCATTGTTTTGAGAGAGGACAGCGTCTCAAAATGGACGCAGGGTGAGTGAGACAGGAATTTATCTTCAGTGAGAAAGTGCCATCTATTGGCCGATAAATTCCTGTCCTATCTGTGTGACATGATGTACTATAGCGACTTACAGAACATTGATTTCATGTTTAGTGGCTGTAATTAAGTGGCATTAAGTGTGATGTATACATGGGCACATTTGTGTAATGGAAGTTGGATTAAATAAGGGTTCACAGACTGGTTTGACATTTAACATTTAAATATTCTAGTTCGCTGTGCCACATCACATCAACACCACCAAAGGAAAATAAGTGTGATATGTGCGCCGCTGGATGCTAGACTCCCAGCATGCATCACAGCATGAATGAATCATGCTTATTACAGTTTCATTGTTTTTTCAGTGTTTGAAAACGGTGTTGTTGAGTGTGTTGTTTCCATTGACTTGTGTAATAACATGTGATTTTGAGTTTCACCATCATTGCAGTTTAGTCATTGCTGTAAATTGTGATTTCCTGGAATGAGAAAGGTCAAGGAAGTGTCTGTGTTGAATGTTAATATTTTGGCGATAATGAACAAGTGTTGGAAAAAATTAAGGAATAGTAAAAAAAAAAAAAATAAATAAATCTTTATCTAGTAGTCATAAATGCTTGGAAAGGTCAAGTCAAGAAGGTCAAGAACTTGTATTAAATGCAAAAAATAAAAAGTAAAGAGTGTGTGTGTGTGTGTGTGTGTGTATATATGTATGCTGTATACAGTCAGCTCATGAAAAATTAGGGCAAAAACAAGTGTTGCGTTTATAATTTTGTTCAGTGTATATATACTGATTAATACTTATTTTAATAGCAAAGAACATATTAACTTGATAAAAAGTGACAGTAATCACATTGATATTAATAAGAAATCTTTCTTAAGCACAAAACCAGCATAAGACTGGAGTAATGGCTGCTGAAAATTCAGCTTTGCCATCACGCATATATTAAAATAGAAAAATTATTTTGAATTGTAATAATTTTTCACATTTTTACTGTTTGTTTTTTTTAAATCACATAAATGCAACCTTGGTGATCAAAGAGAGAGAGAGTTCTTTCAAAAATATAACAGCTGATAAAATAATTATAAACAATAATAAAATAAAAATAACTAACATAAAATAACAGTAAAATAAATACATTTTAAAATAAATCTCTTATGCCAGTGGTTGCCCCTTTGCTGGTTATTCACCCCTATTATCTGTGTGTTCATATGTTGTATGCATATGTGTGATTATTTGTTGTTGTTTTTCAGGGTATGAAGGGTGACCCGGGTGTCGCAGGAATGGATGGACAGAAGGGCGACAAAGGGGATTCTGTATGTAACATCTCAGAGCTCTAATTGAAAATCCCATCACAGATTTTTGTGTGCTTATTTACCTCATGATACATTCGTCTCTTCTAACATCTCACTCCACAGGGTTTGCCTGGCCTGGAGGCAGCCAGTGGAATGAAGGGGCAAAAGGTTTGTAATGCTTGTTTTATTTGTTAGTTTGTGTGCTGGGAGGAGGTGAGTCTGTTCACTTGTTTGCCAGTTCTGTCTAATAAATCATAGTCTTGTGTAGAAAACCCTTTGACTATAACTGAGGTTCAGACTCAGTCAATTCTGTGGTTCATTTGATTCTCTTTTCTTTGTGTTTGTTTTTCTTTATCACTATTCCTTTAGGGTGAGGAAGGACCACCGGGCCCCGTGAGTACTAGAGGTTCTCAGTCAGAGGTTCTGACGCATACAGATATATCACATACAGTAGTAACACACATGAGACTACATGTTACAGAGCGTACGTTTAAACAGGAAACTCGCATGTCTTTGATAAACACATTGATCTTCATGCCATGAACGACTAAACTGAGATGATTCAAGTCCAATAAATGATTCAGAGCTACTGCTGTAGGATTCATTTGAACATTTTAAACCTCATTTTGAACTATTGCAGGTAGCAAACGTTATATATACTGCTGTTTAAAAGTTTGGAGTCAGTAATTTTTTTTAAAGAAGTATTTTATGCTCACCAAGGCTGCATTTATTTGCTCCTAACAGTAAAAACTGTAATATTGTGAAATAATATTGCAGTTTAAAATAACATTTTTATATTGTAATATATTCTAATATGTCATTTATTCATGATGACAATAATGAATTTTGATTCATCTGAATTTTCAGGAATTTCTCCAGTCTTCAGTGTCACAGAAATTTGCTAAAATCATTCTAATGTGCTGATTTGGTGCTTAAGAATAATTTCTTATTATTATCAAAGCAATTGAGCTGGCTCATAATTTTTTGAAAACTATGATTTTATTTTATTTTTTAGGATTCTTTGATGAATAGAAAGTTCAAAATAACAGCATTTGTTTGAAATAAAAATAGCAACATTTATAAATGTTAAATTTGTAACATTATAAATGACTTTACTGTCATTTTTGATCAATTTAATAAATGCTTGCTACAGTAGCATATGGAAAAAGGCTAATTATTGAGTTAATGTATATTATGCTTATTAATTATAATTCTGCTTATTAATACACATTGCACTTACCCACATTTCATTTTAAGGTCAACATCACCTGAATGACTTTCTTTAACAAGGACCCTGTTGCGATCAATGATAAATGTTAATACCAATAAAATCAAGCTATTTATTTTTTATTAATTCTAAATTTAATTTAACTTCAGTGTAGGTTTCAAAAGACACATGATTGAGGGGGACAATTCACTCCCTTTCAGACATTCAGGAAGACCACATGTTTCCTGTTTGTTCTGTATTTTATGTTTGTCAAAGTTGAAGTTACAGTAACTACCACCACAAACATCTTCTGCCGTATTGACAGTGTAGAGTGTACTGCGTCAGTGCAGCACTGCTCATCGGCTTCATCTCTGCTGACTGGTCACTAATAAGACAACCTTTGAGAGCTGAGAAGCCAAAAGCTTTTTGGTCGCACTTAACAGGAAATTTGTAGGTTTGGAACTGCATTGCCCGTGTCAATTAAATCAAAAGAGGGAGACGAAAGGTGCGATTTGACAGCAGGGCACAAAATCAATTGATGCTGTCTGCTGTGTGAATCTCTAGCTAAATGGGAGAAACGAGATGACTGTAGCCTTTTTAAACCAATTTACAAAGATTCATGAAGCCTGGAACACCAAAGAATCCGATGGCTTCTTTTTTCTCCTGTTCTGAAATGGCTAATTACGATGATGGGTGACTCAAATATAAACTGGCTTTTAAGAGTTTGATTATTCTCTCATGGTTTCCTCTTTAGTTTGGAATTTGATTGTAGCCAGCTCTGAATGGAGCATGTTGTTTAGAGCTACTTCTGTTTTAATTAAGGATTTGTATCTGTCCAAAGATGAAAAAAATTATTTGAACAACTGTAACCCAAATCCCACTTCAAGATTTTAATTAAATTCTAGCTCATTGTTAAATGGTAATTAGCTGTTTTTCTGAGCTCAGAGCACGGCAATATATGGTTGGACCCATCTGACTTCAATACAATATTTATTTAAAAAATTCTATTTTTGTGTTATGATTATGTATAGCACCTAATTTTATAATTAGTATAATAAGCACAACTGTTTTCAACATTTATAATAAGAAGAAATGTTTAATGAGCACAAAATCAGCATATTAGAATGATTTCTGAAGGATTATGTGACACTGGAGACTGGAGTAATGATGCTGAAAATTCAGCTTTGCCATCACAGGAATAAATTACATTTTAAAGTATATTCAAAAAAAAACGTTTTTCAAATTGCATTTTTTTTTTTTTTTTACAAAAACGATAAAAAAAAATCTTACCAAAACCAAACTTTTGAATGATAGTGCACACTTATAAACATTACTTTTCTGCATTTAACAAAACATAATTTAAATGTTTAGTATATTTAACATAAAAAAAAAAAACTTTTAATATGAATTTAACCAATAATTTTGTGCAATATATTTTTGAGTTTATTGTATTGTCATTAGCAACATTCTAACACTAAACTAAATGTCCAGTATTTCAAATCAGTCACTTGTTGTGAGGTCCGTTTCACCTAACATGATGTATTAGTAGGCAACTCCCTATGAAGAGATTAATGGTGTGTTCACACCAGACGCGAATGTAATTATTTGCACGAGTAGCTTACATACAAAGTCAACACAAAGACGCGAATAGAGGCGAATTCGCGCCGGGCGACGCGAATGACGTGAAATGTGTGACGCGTTTGCCGCGAACGCACGATATTCGCCTGAATCGCGTCTTCCACGCAAGTTCAAAAATTTCAACTCGAGCAGAAAATTCGCATGACGTGACAACAGGTACAAAACAGCGATTGTAGTTATCTCCACCATGGTTGATCGCGCTGTTTTTATTCGCGCGAGTGACACGAAAAACATCCCGCGAGTAATCTAGAGCGAGTGACGCGATGCGCATATTCGCTTCGCGTCTGGTGTGAACACACCATTAGATAGGCAGCTCACTAGGTTTTGGAGCAGAGCTCATATAATTTACATACATTTATTCAGCACAATGAATAAATGTACAGAACAGGAAAAATTCTACTATTCATTCTCTAGACCAACTTTGTCTTGAAGTTACATCAGGCCTCCTGTTGTTTCATCTTTATTCATAGACTTCTGTTTTACAGCACATGAAACGCAGTAAATGAATCCACGGATACATCTAACAAAACAATGTCTTTCACTGCTGACTGAAAGCCGTCACAATGATTGACAGGCTATTAAACCAGCTGGTAGTTAATGGGAAAATGGAAAGCCGTAAAGCAGATTCAGAATCCACCTCTATGTGGCAGACCGTGATGTCTTGAAGAGGCACTTTTTGGTCTATATTTGCAGGCTTCTTGTTGCAATAAAAGGCTCTTGCCATTTGAAATGCCATAAACCCTGGATTAATGGTAATCTCTCACATAGAGGCCATCCAGAGAGTTGAGAACGAGAGAGGAAGCTTCTGTTTTATGCTTGTGTGGAGATGTTGAGGTTATCACTGAACTGAGATCTAAGAGCGGAGCATGAGAAGGGATTAAATTATAACTGATGAGGTCTTTCTAATGAGCATGTTCACCTGATCTTCCCTTTAACAAACTAAAAAACTCAACACCAACTTCTTTTTGCTGGTCCTGGGTTCATTTTAACACATGTAACCTGCAGTTGCAGTCTCATGGTAGTTTTCTATAACAGCATAAGCTAACATCAATATTAAAAATAGTCTTTTTTCTTTATTAAGGTGATGACAGCACATGGACTGAGACTTTCTGGACCTGTAAGTTTAGATACCATTTAAAAATACTTTATGAAATACTGTTATGTTTAAAACCACTAGTGAAAATGCTTCTGTTTTTTTTTCCCTTCTGATATTTTACATTTAAATTAGATTTTAGTTTAACACTGTTTTTGTTTTTATACTAGTTTTGCAAATCTGTGATTAAAAATGATCAGACAGAAAATTCTATAAAAATAAAAAAGTGAAAATATTTATTCATTTTACATCATAACATTACATTATTATCATCATCATTATTATTATTATTATTATTAAAACTTTCCATGTTTAATTACATTAGTCCTAGATTTGCTTTTGCAATGCATTTGGAAATGATTTTCAGTCAGATGTGCATCATATGCATGGTAAACTGACTGCCGCTGTGTGCTTTTTAAAATTATTATTATCATGCAACCATGCATTTCCTCCATGAATAATCTCTAGCCATTGTTTTGTTTGTTTTCTCCCAATAATCCATGAGGGGGAAGGAGGTGAGAAAGGCCAGAAAGGAGACCAGGTTAGTAGCCACTCATTAGCGTTGTTTGTCATGCATCCGCATCGGACTGTAAGATCATTAAAATGTTGAACTTATGCCAAGCGGTTTTTAAAAATCTGTTTTGGCAGCCTTGTCTTAAAATGAAAAGGAAAATATGAAAGCTGTGCTGAATCAATGCAGTGGACAGTCAATGAAAATGCTCAATCCGGCTCTCTCTTTAATCTGTCAGGTGTTAGTAGAGACATAAAGGTTTTAAAAGGAGGGACCTTTAAAAGGAAACATTTTGAAAGCATGGACACATAAAAATATATTTTTTCGACCTTGGTCTCTTGTTCTACTGTAGGTCCTCTTGAAAATGTGATTTAATGTATTGCAATCAGCATTTCCTCTTCTTTCACCAGGGTGAAAAAGGTTCTGAAGGCTCGAAAGGTTTACAGGTAATACATACATAATGCATACATTGAATAATTAAAGTTATAAAATGTATTTATTTTTATGGCCTTGTTACTTTGGACGTGAAGTGGGTTACATGGTATAGTTAGTGTTAATCTTTTCTGATTAAATGATACAAATTTATTCTGAAATGTACTAGTAAATGGCACCATTTTCCCCTTCTCTTTTTATCAATGTATTATTATTTTTTCTAATTTCCTTTTTTAACTCTTATAAAGGGCAATACTGGATTGCCTGGACTGACAGGGGCACCAGGACTTGAGGTATGAACTTCCTGTTTCCGTAAACCCTTCATGCTGACATCTTATGATTTAACCAAGATAGAACGAACATTAAAGTCTCTCTACTTTGGTGTGATAGAATTATTGCGTACTTTGTCAGCGTGGTTGACCCGTAGGTTAGCAGCTCTGCCGTGATCTCTCTGATTTTTAAGAATTTTGAGACACAAAGCAATGCCATCAAGTTAGCATTTTTAAACATTCGCTCACTAAAAAATAAATCATTTCTAATCAATGACTTAACCACACAACCTGCTATCTTGACACACTTCCCACATCTTTTTTCAAAAGTGTGCTTAACTGTTTGGAAGCAGATCTATTAGAAGTGGTGAATGCCACATTTAAATCTAGACTCAAAACTCATCTGTTTAGCTGTGCATTTATTGAATGCGCACTGTGCAATGTCTGAACTGAGTGCACTGTATTTTATGTATGTATAATCATTTTTCTTAAATCTTAAATTCATTTTAAATCAATCTTTAAATCATTTTCAAAGTTTTTAAATTCCTTGTTTTATTTTTGTGGGGGTTTTTTTTATGATTATTTTACTTTTATGTAAAGCACTTTGAATTACCATTGTGTATGAAATGTGCTATATAAATAAACTTGGCTTGCCTTGATATACTGACCAGTGCCAAAAGCTTTCTTACGGGTGGCTTATTGCAATCGGTTCTTGCTGGGTTAAATGGGTTGTGGCATGTTACCAAGGTCGCAAAAAGCATCTGATTGCGGCCTTCATTTTAGTTAATAGTTAGGGACCTCTCAGAATAGCAAGCAGTTAAAATGCTACACAGCTGGTACAAAATCAGAGTCTCTGAAGCAAGAGCTTTCAAAGCATGTTTTATTCGCTTGCTCTCAGAGTTAGGCACAAACTGATTTCACATTTTCCAAACAATTTTCTCAAACCTGAAATAAGGTCATGCTGCTCATATGAAGAGATCTCAACATGTGTTTGTGTTCTTACAGGGAAAGCAGGGTCCGTCTGGTCCCATTGGCCTCCGTGGTCTTTCAGGAGATCTGGTAAGCAGGAAACGTTTTTAGGTCACACTTTATATTAGGTGGCCTTAACTACTATGTACTTACATCAAAACATAAGTACAATGTACTTATTGTGTTCATATTGTATTGCAAAACACTTTTGATGCTATTGAGGTGGGATACGGGTAAGGTTAGGGACAGGTTTGGTGGTATTACTGTATTGTTAAGGTGTAAGGGATGGGGCAACAGTGTAATTATAAATGTAATTACAGAAATTAATTACAGATGTAATTACATATAGGTATTTTTAAAAATATAAGTACAATGTAAAAACATGTATGTACACAATAAGTGCATTGTACCAAATTATTAATTTAAATGCGAGTACATAGTAGTCAAGGCCACCTAATATAAAGTGGGACCCATTTTTAGTTTCTCAACTCCTCCCAAACTGCTTGGGTAAAATTTGTAACTGATCAAAAGTACACTTTTGGCAGGCAAACAATAAAATGCATGATAAAATACTGTAAATGAGGCAGCTTGAGACCAGAAAATGATACACTCTTAAAGAAAGTGTTCACCCAACAATGAAAATGTACTCACCCTCAGGCCATCCAAGATATAGATGAGTTTGTTCCTTCATCAGAACAGATGTAGATGTAGAGTTTATTTCTTTCATGTTTCTTCACTGAAACAGATTCTGAGAAATTTAGCACTACATCACTTGCTCACCAATGGATCCTATGCTGTAAATGGGTGCCGTCAGAATGAGAGTTCAAACAGCTTCTTGCCAAATTGTGAGTCTGTACTCCATAATAATGCTTCCTCCAGTGAAAAGTCCATTCTCTGTTGTCTCATCAAGATCCATCAACATATTTGTTTAAAAGTTTTGGACTGTTAAACAGTGCTTGATCTGTGCATATTTCTCTACTGATGAGAGTGCAATAGTATGGATAGAGGACTCACATTTTAGCTGAAAGCAATGGTTTTAGTGGGTTTGTTCAGTACAAACACACAGATTTTTACTTCACAAGATATTCATTGATCTACTAATAGTCATTTGGATTATTGTGACGTTTTTTATCAGTTATTTAAACACTCATTCTGGCGGCACCCATTCACTGCAGGATCCATTGGTGAGCACGTGATATATAATGCTACATTTCTCCAGATCGGTTCTGATGAAGATACAAAAAAGAAACAAATTCATCTACATCTTGCAAGGCCTGAGGGTGAGTAGATTTTCTGCAAATTTTCAAACTATTCCTTTATGAATAAAGGTTCCAAAAAGGAGTTTTTGCAGTAATGCCATATAAGAACAGTTTTGGGTTCCTCAGTATGAAGAACATTTTGATATTGTAAAGAACACCATGAAGAGCCAGTTGTGCAATTGAAAGATTCTTTAGAGTACCATAGACTTTTGCATGGGAAACACCACATGAAAATTTAAAAATCTAGATTTATTCTAATCACGCACTCCACATTCTTTTAGTTTTTCCCACTCACTCACTCAATCACTCACAAACAGAAAAAGACAGTGCACGTATAAATAACAGAGGCGAGAAAAACGAGGATGCAGAGCTGTAAATTGTTGCACAGACAATCAGTAATCAATCGGTAATCTGAAAATTAATTTGCAGGGACGGGTACATCTGAGTTCTCTACGTGTGGGGAGGAATCAGCATCACAATCTGTTCTCGGCACCTGCTTCTGCTAATGAGCATCTGCCTTTATTCCAAAAAAGATGGGAACACAGGGATTGGGGGGATGTTAGGTGTCAAATTAAAACGAATAAAGCGGGAACAGATAAAGCTGATAGGCATGTGTCTTGTCTTTCCTGATTTTTCCAGGGCTCTCCCGGTCAACCAGGACTGTCTGGAGAAGATGGAATGAAAGGAGAAAAGGTACGCAAGAACGCACTGAAGCTGCATGTTTCTAATGTGATGTTTTCCTTGTTTCTGCATATGTTGAAGCACTAGGTCATGTTCACGACAATTTGTTCACATTAGACTTCACTGAGCTGTTTTGCTTGTACATCTCGGCAGTTTGCACCAGCTGTAAGCAGATAAAAAGCTGTATGCTGAAATAGTTTCAGAGTTAAGATCTAAGAATTACTGCTTTGTGTTTGTTATTTATTGGGGTCCTTTAGAAGGCAAAATGTGACGTCTGTAGAGATACTGGAAAGTATAATGAAACTGGAAATCTAGTCTAAAGCACAACAAACTACCTTTGTTCCGAAGACTTGGCCTACAGCAAAATTGATTATTAGATGATATTAAGAACTAAAGAATGGCAGTACACTTTGCAAATTTATTTCCAGAATTTTCCTCATCTTTGAGTAACAACTTCATATTTAGGACTTAATATTTAGAATAATTTAATTAATTAATTAAAATAGCCTTTTTTAATAGAAAAGTCCAATAAAATTTATTTTATAGTTATTTATATACTATTGCAGTACTTTTTTAATATTTTAAATTGACTTTTATTATTATATTTTTATTTTAGTTTGTTTTAGTATTTTTGTGCTTTTGTAATTTTTATTTATTTTTTGTATTTATTTCAGTATTAGTTTAAATAACTTTTTCATCTAAAATTTTTTTCGTCTAATGTTTACATTGTTTTAATTGCTAAAAACATTTTAAATTATATTATTTATTTTAGTCTTATTTTATTTTATTACTATGTTCTATATACAGTATATTCCAATGTTACTTACGTTGGTCTTATTTTTTAGTTAGTAGACTAAGATATTGCATCATGGTAGGATGGGGCCTGAAGTACATTTTATTTTCCTCCAATAATAATTCAAATTTGCAAATATTTTGTTCAGATGACTAAATGAAAGTTATTGTGAAAAAAGTCGACTGGAGAAAATGCACTCAAAATAGTCACAGATCACTCAATAACAGCGTCTTTAAGAGAGGGAGCATGTTCAGCATAGCAGATGTTTAGACTGCTTTTTTTAGTCTCTCGTCTCACCTCTGAAGCGGCTGGAGGCGTTTTCTAGGTTGGTGGCATTTGCCCCAGATGTCTGTGATATTTACGTCCAGCTCTTGTTTTGTATGTGTGTGTGAAGGCAGGCATGTTGTGCATTTGTGTGGTGCTCCTCAACCTGTCAAAGGACAAACCTGAGGTGACAGCGACTCGATGTGTGTTTGCAGGGTGATGCAGGTGGAGGGCCGGGACCGATAGGCCCCCCGGGCCTCAAGGGTGAACCTGGTGAGCCCTGCTCTGTCGGACCTTGCAATGGGGTAGGTACACAACACCATTCCTGTCTTTCCCTTTCACTTCATGTTCCCCACTCAATATCTTCTCTTTCAGCACCCCTTTAAGACACAAACAGAATATCACTCAACACTTATCCAGCATCCCACCACTTTGATGACAGCTCCGATTTAAGAGGCACACTGACAATGATGTTATGCACCTGTAAATCTGCGACACATTGCCGCACATGCGCTCTTCTTCCGCCAGCAGCCGGGTTATTGATGACAGCTCCTTGTTTTCAGCTTTGACAATGAAATACTGTTCGTGCTAATTCACCGCTTTGGTAAAACTGTTTTTAAAAATGCCTTTGCTGTGCCGTACTTACAGTATACCTGTCAGCTGTCCAAGCCATGAGAAAGAAAAATCAGCTATGAGATCTGCAAAATAGCTTCGAAACCAGTGAGAAGCAAATCGAGACTTTAGCTTTAGTCCTCCTACTTCTTTGTTTTCTCAAATCTAAGTAAAAACTACTTATCTCAAGGTTTCATATACAGTTTCGAAAGAAATCTCAACATTGTCTCACACTTTGGCCAAGATACTAGTATGCCATCTGTCAGAAATCTCACAATTCTCAGTCTGTTCTTTCAGAACTATCGTCTGGTCCTATACCTATATCTATCTACATATTTTTAACAGCCGTCTCATTTTTTTCTTACGTTATAAAAGAACATCTTGGTAGAAAAAAACTTTAGATATAGTCTGGGATGTTGTAGATGTGGTCACTTCTCTAGTTTGGGATGAAGTGTATCAATCAACACTATTTAAAGTTGGCATGAAACGGAAGTAGCCTTTTGGTCCCCATTGTGACGTATATCAATGTGAAATGGCTTCTTGAATGAGAAACAACTGTAGTAGCAGCTGGTTTTATTGATGACAGCTCATTGATTTCAGCTTTGTCAATGAAATACTGCTCATGCTAATATACTGCTTTGGTAAAACTACCTTTAAAAACACCCTTGCTGTTTCATCCTAACGGTACACCTGTCAGCTGTCCTGGGATGTTATAGATAGGGTCACATTTGTAGTTTTTATACACTAAAATTGGCCTGAAACAAAAGTTTTCAATGTCATTTCCTATTGTAACGTATGTCTGAGTGAAGCATCTTCTTGAACAAGATCAAATGTAGGGAATTTCCCCACTGGAAATTGATTGGATCGTTGTCGTTTGCTATTGTGTTTTATTTCATGCTAGTTAGGTGCCAGCTGAACTCTGACTTAAGAAATGATGTTTGTTTGCGAGGGAAGGAGATAAACTGCATATTAACTGTAAAGGTGGCGAGTCATCCAGCATGAAGCATATAGACAGATGGGTGGTGGGCAGACAGAGCACTTGTTGACCAGCTGAATGATGGTTTGCTGGACTGAAATCAATATAGCATGAAGCCATCAGTCACCTTTGTCTGTTCTGATTTAGTGGAAGAGAGAAAGACAGGGAAATTTACACGAGGGAAGTGAACGAATGAAATCAAATCTGACACCATTTATACACTCCTGGTCTCATTCTGCTTTATTCTTCTTCTTGTTATAATTATTATTAATTGTGTTGTTTCTGTTGTTATCACTTTTAATACCCACTTTTGATTCAGTCCAACTTCTCACAAGGGCCTTGCTGTGTTCATTTAATCGGTTCACTATACTTAAGTATCCTGTATTTTGACTTCATAGGATGCAAAAAGTCTGTTTACCTACCTGCTGTGACAGCTTCTGCAATGCGAAAACTACTTGCTAATCTAATTCTTGCTGACCACAAAAATCAATTTTCCATCAGTGGCATATCGCAAATAATGCTTACTGTAACTCTTTCACACTGTCGGCTCCTACAGTATCACTTGCAAATCACACAGAGAAAAACAATTAAAAATGTGCTGTGAATTGCACCAAACTCTAGAGCGTGCAATATTTAGCGACGTTGGGGACGCTGCTTGAAATTGTATCTTGTCAAGTTACAAGCTACTAATTTAAAGCGGTGAAGAAAAAGTAGATTATTTATATAAAATGTTACACTGTTCCTTTAACACTGTTTTAGTAGCATCACCTCTTCAGTATTCTCAAACACTGATTTTCAGACTGCTCCTATAAAAGTTTCTGGCTGAAATTGAGTCTTATGTAAGTTTTAAGAACACAGTCTTCATTTGAGTTTGTATTTCATCTCTAGGAGGAGGTCGCGTCTGGTCTTCGGGGGTTGCGGGGCCCTAAGGTAGGTCACTGTGAGAGATTCTTTTTAAAGTATTCAGTTTTGCGCTTGTGAAGTTTATCTGTAAAGGAACATCCCCTGAGTTCATATCAGCCATATTTCCCTGTGCTGTGCTTTGTCTTTTAGTCCACTTTTTTATGGTGTGATAAGAAATGTCAGCATTGTGAATAATTAAAGTTAAACGCCATATCTAATTGCATCTGTGACATTAATGTCGATTACCACAGAAAACCATTTTGACTCATTCCCAAAGTTTAAAACAAAGCTAAATTTGTGGAATACAGTTTTCAAACTGAGTTGCAAGTCGAAATTGTATGTGGTAGTAGACCTTAACTTGTATTAAACCCTGAAAATTTATTTAAGCCAGTTGCATGCTGTCACAAATTATTTGCTTATGCAGAATGCTTCGTTAAAGCTCTTATTTTACTACTGTGTAAGCATCTGTTTGTAAGGGTTTGATTTTAAATACATTACTACTACATACTGACTGAATATGTTCATGATGTTGCTATGGCAACAAATTCATTTTAAAACACAATAATTATCCAGCCAAGCTTTATTACATAAACCGTGTTTTGTGAGTTTTGGAGTTAATTTTGTTTGGATGAATGAACTTTTTTGCTCTCCACCAGGGTGAGCGAGGTGTACCTGGAGTCCCTGGAGATGCTGGAGAAAAAGGAGAACCTGGTATTGGAATCACTGGACCCCCTGTAAGTACCTGTTTTAGAGTAACTTCACAAACATTGTCTTCATTTAAAGGGATTATTCACACAAAACAGAAAATAGTCATTTACTCACTCTCATGTTGTTCCAAACTTTCTTTTGTGGAACACAAAAGCTGAAATTTCAGTCTGTTCCACATACAAAAATATCATACAGCATTGTCAAATGAACAACTTTTATGGTACTTTTTGTCAGAATTGGAGCTTGACAATGGCTGTATGACAGTCATACAGGTTTGCAACGACAATGACTTTTCACACAGAAATACACAGTCTGCGTTATCGATTCTTCATCCCACATACTTCCCACAGACAACCATAAAGTTCACACTATATAAAAGTTTTCCAAGTAGCTTTAGATTTTAGCATTTAGTGTTTTTGCATATCAGACTGAAAACAATATATATAAGACACCTGCATTTATTAATTGAACATTTTTGTTCATTTATCTATTTTCTATAGGGTCTGATGGGATCTAAAGGAGAACCAGGAATTCAGGTAAAGGATCATTTAACATCCAAAAAACAGCAATTACATGTAGACCAAGCATGTCAGTTATATACCATTGTGCATAATATACTTACACATTGATATTGCATATTTTTTATGATCTTATACAAGTTAAGACAGAGATTGAAGCTCTTTGTTTTGAAAATGTTGAAGCAAGTGAATTTACATGATGGTGTTCTTTTCACAGGGTCCTCGTGGACCTCCAGGACCACTTGGATCGCCAGGAATTATGGTGAGAAGTGTTTTTCATTTCTTTGAGTCCAAATTTGTTAAAAGGTGAAAATATCAAGATATTTATTTATTCATATATCTATGAATTATTTTATATAAAGAATTCTTAAATATCTTGAATGTGTCTTAATCTGAAAGGGACCTCCAGGCCCACAAGGCAGACCAGGACCCCCTGGACCCCCTGGAGAACCGGTTCGTAACATTAGGTTTTTTTGTTTGTTTGTTTTTGCCTTTTTCTCGACATTCCTAGAAATGTTAATATTCGGTTACTCACAATATGTACAGTTGTTTTGTTTATTGTTGCTCTGCTAATTAAAATAGTTGGAATATTATATTGACATAGCACTCCATGGGGAATAAAATAAATACTTGTGTTTGTATTGCGTGTCATTTTATTATGCTGCTTTAAATGTTTCTTTTTCAGACAGCACTACCTATTGTTGGAGACATGGGGACGTTACTAAAGGTACTGTTTCATCCAGCTATCTGTTCTCACTGCAGCAGATGCTAAATATTAATAGTATGAATTATGATGAACAGAACTAAAAAATAAATAAAAGATGCTGAATTTACAGTTAGGTCTGTACCCAAAAAGTTCCCTTTGAGATGCATATCAGCAAAACTTTTGCAGACTTTGAAACCTGACATCTCAAACCGAAGGTGTTTTAAAAATCTATTTAAAACTCTGTTCCCTTCAGTCAGATTGTGTGTGGATCTTAAGACAGATCTTACCCCATGTAACCTAGAGGAAGCATTTTTTCCCCTCTATTAAACCGTAAGATTTCAGAAACATTGCCTTTCCTATTACACACAATATTTTAGTAACAAAACACAAATGACAGAATATAGCCAGAGGTAATATAAAGCCCAATTTTATCTAAAATCGCTCTGAAGAACTGTTATAAATTATTTCATTGCCTGCTCTATTGCTCTCTTTCAAACTCTTTACATTCATGTATATTCAGCACTTAGAAAAAGAAACATTCTTTTAACTTTCACTCTTCGCTCTCGCTTTAATTCCTCCTTATAAGTGCTTTCTGTTCTGTCTTCCTCCTCCACTGCTCATTATGTTTCTGTTTGGGCATCATGCATTCATCTCTATGCGACTGAAGAAACTTCTGACAAGATAAATGCCCATTTGCTCAAAAAATGACGCAGTGAGATTCTTAGGACTGAACTGTCAACCACAACAACACACAGAACTACTTACAGTAGCTTATGTACTGTAATTTATCTCCGGTTTGGATTTGATGTGTCTTCATACACACAGGAAAGGGAATGCATCAAAACATATTTAAATGTCAAAAGAACAGGCAAGTTTATGACTGATTTCTGCAGAGTTTGAATTGGAGCTTGAGTCATGTCAATAAATAAATTATGTATATTTTACTTTTAAAATGTTTTTGTATAAAAAGCTTTGCTAATTTTGCACTATGAATTATCATTCACTGTTTATGGTATAGAGCAGCTCTGACATTCTGTCTATTTTAATTGTTGGGTGAAATATTCCTTTAAATAAATTAATAGTATTTATTTATTGAAGCTCACAGTTTTATGTCGAAATCTAAAAATGCACTTAGGTCATGTGTTCTGACTCTTCTTGAATTTGTGTACGAATTTCCTCTTTTCTCCATTAATGTTAAACCTCTACTGCTATATCGGTCACATGCAATTTGATAATTGTCAGTCTTACACAAAGAACGCAAATATAAATGTGGTTCCTGAATCACCCTGCACTTATTGAGCAGGTCGGACTAATGCACTAGTAAATTGCTACCTTCAGAGACACGCTGGTGCTGGGTACGAAAAGTGCATCCAATGTGAAATGTCAACGCAATCCTTGCGACCCATTACGGTAAACCATTGATTACGCTTCACGGGTCGGGTATATAGTTTCACTCTTAAAGAGCAGAAGAGAAAAAGGTTGCTTACTTAGCCCCCGAGTTTCAAAACCGCTTTTGAAAGCACCTTCACTTCTGCTTTTGCTGTTTCTCTCTGTATCAGTGGGTAAATGTATTGAGGTGAATGCATCAGGTTGGCAAGGTTAAAATCTGGGAAAAAATTGTACTTCCCTAATGCATGCCTTTTATCAAGTTTTCTGCCTGTGAGTTGTTTGTATGTCTGGGTTTGACCTTTAGCGTTTTTAGCAGTGGGCAAAGCTTGATTGCCACGCCATATGTGCCTCTTCAAGCTGGTAAAAGCATATATCCAGATGGGCAAACATAAATCTTACACAGATGCAATAAAGGTCAGTATACAGAAGCAGATAAACCTGTGTAGAGCTCATGAACACAAATAAGGACGTTGGAGTCTGTTTACTGTTTTTCCACAGTAAGAGTGAGGTAAACGGTGCCACGTTTTACTTCCGTTGTCTTTAAGAAGAAATGAGATGGAGGTAAAATGAATCCTTTTCATAATATTTCAGAATATCTACTATAAATTTATAAGGAAGCATTTATGACACAATCATAGAAATATCACTTCTCAAAATAACAAAACCATGTCAAGGTGTAAGTTGAATCATGTGAGAATTTTTAAACCATTTTAAATTAAAATATAAAGATACATGAGAAAAATAATTTACAAATGCACAATGCTATTTCAGAAATTGAATTTGTTACATATTATTCACATTTTTACTAAAGGACTATATATTTTATATTAGTATTTCCTGCATTCTGAGGCAAATCTATAATTTTATTGTTACTGCAACTGACACAACTTTAGCATCTGACACAGTTTAGTCCATAAAAATATTTTAGATTTAATTATTTTTAGATCAATAATTTACTGTTTTATACATTGCAAATCACTAAGATGTATTTTAAAACTAGATAAGTTTGCATTTAAAATAAAACTAATTTTACCTGCTAAATTTTAGTTTGATGTGCTTTGTTTCAGCATATGAGAACATCCTTTAATTTTTCTTATCTGCATCATTTAATCTCAGGCAGCTATATATGATGGGTCCTTTCTGAATATGTGAACCAAAAAAAGGTTCATTTTGTGATGTGTTGCATCCTGGGCTTATCTGAACAGAAGGAGAAAGAGATTAAAAGAGAGAAAGTCGGATTTCTGCACCTTACGTTGTGTGTGTTTGTGATTTTGGCAGAACGCCTGCAGTGCGTGTCAGACCAGAGTACCAGGATTGCCAGGGCAGAAAGGAGAAAAAGGTTCCCTTGGAGCTCCAGGTATCCCAGGAATGGATGGAGAAAAGGTAAAATTGGCTGCAAACACATTTAATCACCTCACTAATTAAAATTCTGTTCATCCACCTGAGATTTTCTAGCACTGATTGCTGTCATCCTTTCTGGCTGATGCAATGAATGATTTGTTTATAATACACCAGACATTTCTGCAGTCCAGTTATTTGAAATGCATGTGTATATAACAAAGTTTTTAAGATTTGCTATGCAAGGGCTTTAAAAAGTATTTAAAGAGTTTGCATGTCATTGTATTAGATAACCACAAAATCTGCAAATGAATCAGCACTTGCAAACAATGATGCTTGACATTTTCTCAAAGCTAATTTTACTTTTCTGGGCCACAATTTACGAGAACTTCAAATGTTTTACTTGCAATACTGTATATGACCTTGTCTTCTCGTTCTTTAAAATTAATTCCAGTTTGTTGATCTTTTAAACACATGATGACATTCATACATTAACTGTGGCCTAAGTGTTCAGATACTTTCCTGAGCCACTGTATATTCTTATGTCTGTCCTGTGGACCTGGCTCCTTACGTTCTGTGTTGGCTTTGACAGGGGGATCAGGGACTTCGAGGCCCAGCTGGTAATCCCGGAAAAGAGGGTCCGAAGGTAAACCGCCCTAAATCAGAGATTAGAGAAGAGAATCGTGTGATTGGCAGACACATGAGCCCCAGATATATCCACAGTCTTCCCTTTAGCTGCAATTCTGGAAGTACATTTCCTCTGTTACAAGGCATAGCAGGGCAAATGTATTACAAATGGTGCAACAATTAAACCAAAAAAAAAATGGTTTGCATACTCTACATTAGAGTGCATGAATGCGAGACGTTCAGTGACAGACAAGAATTGAGGCTAGAGATGAGCATTAATAATGTGTAAGAGCATCATAAGAGATCAAGAGAGTGTACTTTCTGTCTCAACGGTTGTCCATCTGTCTCGTTGTCATATAGGGAGTGAAGGGTGAGAGGGGCTTTCCTGGTCCAATGGGGGACAAGGGTGATGAGGTGAGTTATCAAAATTATACGACAAAGCTAAACTAATCCTGTTACAGTTAGTGGACTTGTCTGATGTGTCATAGTTGACTACTATACTGCTGCTCCAGACACTTTATTTTCCAGACTGTGCATCTGAAATGAAGTGATTTTTTTTGTTTGAGTAGATTGCTGTTTTAATAGGTATTTAAATAAACATCTTTTGTTTTGTACCCATTCACATTTGAAACAATGCTGACATTGTATCGAATAGTATATTGTCCAATGGACCAATGGATTTTCATTTAAACTTTCATTTTATTGTTGTTGAAATCTAGCCTCAAGCTCACAGTTGATTGGTCCAAGGATAGAGAATGAATTATCAATTATAGCTACAATTATTTTCATCTCTTTCCCAGGGGTCCTCAGGTGTGCCAGGATTGCCTGGATCCACAGGCCGTATGGGTCCACAGGTTAGAAACTTCCAGCAAAAATAAATATCATCATGATTTTATGGTTTTTATATGGCGGCTAGTTTAGTTCCTTGGTAATCTTTTTTTTTTTTTCTTGTTTTGTTTTTCCCCCAGCGATGTATCTGATTAAAATGATCCTTATGCATATTCCTCTGCATTTAGGGACTGATTGGCAGACCAGGACCTGTTGGGGCCACAGGACCAAAGGGAGAACGGGTAAACATAATCAAGTGATAATTTCTGCTTTAAGATTTTAAAATAATATTAAGGCCCTTAAAAACAGATAATGCTATTTCAAACCCAGGCATAGTGTAAGTAAGGGATAATCAACGGTTTGCCGTGCATTAAAGGATTTTAAATGCACGACTTGGAGGCAAAGAACCACCTGACACGAAGCGGAGGAACTGAAGGACGGATCACGGCCACACAGACACAAGCCGTTGATTATCCCGCTTATTCCATGGTCATTTGCCAAGTTATAGACAAGTTAAAACCAGTGTTGCTCTTTGCAGCGCAATATTTGACCGAATGGGTAAAAATGACAGTTATTTTCGTCAGTTACGACACGTTAGCTCTAGCATTCTGCCCGCTTCAAATCAGACACAGAGATGAAATAGTGCGGTAAGATCACATTTATTTGAATGAATTATAGCATTTATTTCAATTAATTATCGACCGATCGAGAGAGAGAGAAAGAGGGAGATGACAGTTGTGTGCGCTAGGGCTGCACGTTTAATTGAATGCGATTGTCATGCGCATCTTGTCAGTAAAGCCGGTTCTGTGCAGTGGTGTAATGTAACGAAGTAATAATACTTCGTTACAGTACTTAAGTATTTTTTGGGAGTATCTGTACGTTACTTGCGTTTTTATATTTCAGCCAACTTTTACTTTTACTCCACTACATTTCCAAATTCAAATGTATACTTATACTCCGATACATTTCCCCAAAGCATATTCGGTACTTACTACAAAATAGTCAGAAGAACACGGACTGCAGGAAAGCAGGTTTGACGAATCAGTGGTCTGGCATCTGCAAGTTAGACTCCTAAAAACACCTTTGCTCATGTGCAAACAAGTGCGCGCACAACCGCGGATGATTCATGCTCCACTCAAGTAGAGTCTGGGGTGTGTGATATACAGTTAAGTACAATAAATATCACATACTTTAAGACTTTTACTCAAGTAATATTCTAAACGGTGACTTCAACTTCTACCAAAGTCATTTTCTGGTAAGATATCTGTACTTTTACTTGAGTATGGCTTTCAGGTACTTTATACACCACTGGTTCTATGATTAGTAGCAAATCTCCAGCAGGTGCTTTCAGATGGAGCAGCGTTTACTACACAGAGCTGTAGTTCACTGACAAGCTATGCAAAATCGCGTTCATAATCGCAGACTATTTAATCGTGCGATTATGAAATCGAAGAAATCGTTCTGCGATTATGAAAACTGTTTGCGTAGCTTGCCAGTGAACTACGGCTCTGTGTAGTAAATGCTGCTCCACCTGAAGGCACGTGAAAATACCACATTTAATAACATGTTTTTACTCCAAACTCACTTCATAACGTCAGTCAAGTGTTTGAAATAAATCCTTCTGTGAGATGATGTGGCTTCTTACACAGAATAAGGCACGCAACATATTTCATA